ATATATGTGTTGTTGTGTGTGTCTGTCTGTATGTGTTTGTGTGTGTCTGCCTGTATGTGTGTGTAAGAGAGAGACAGACAGACAGACAGGCAGGCAGGCAGGCAGGCAGACAAATTCAAAGAGAGTGATATATCATTTTTTTTCATCTACGTGCGAGGATCTTGTTTGGAGAAGCCATTGCCGACATGGTCACGAGAGTTATAAATTCGGTCGAGAAAGCACGACGTTCGGAGTCACGTGTTTCAATGTAACGGCAGCAGAGAATCACAGACGGACACACAGACACATCACTAAAATGTGTTCGCTCAAGTGAAAGTGCTTTGCTATTTTGAGGCACAGACGGACACACGGATAAAAGACACACCCGCAAAGAAAAAGGAGAAGAAGACAAAGGGACGGGCAGGTTGTATGACTTTAGACAAAAGGCTCGCGTTCAAGTCGTACAGAAAGATATATCATTAATTAATTTATTTATACGGAGCAAGATCGCAAGTGTGAGATATCCACAGGAGATCCAATTTACTACAGTAGAAATAGGTTATTGGCCATGATTCCATAGCAAGGCTCCTAAGTATCTGTTTGACACAAGGACAAAAGATTGAAGCAGTAATAATTGTCTGCAGGACTCGCTTACTAACGATTTCTTTCTGCCAGGAGTGACCAAATTTGATTAAGGTCACAACCATGTCAGTCATTTATGTGCCATGCGTGATACACGCTTAGGCGATCATGTATTTTTCGTCAGTCATGACGATGGAAATTTTTCCCGCAGTATGTTGCCATTTCTTTCTGCCGTAGATCAGTTGCCATCCTGCTATTTACCCATAGCTAGGGGGAGAAGACGATTCATACCTTTCCCAATGGTATTAGCACGTAAGTGAATGTAATGGATAAAATGGTATTTGAGAGCCACAAGATACCAAATAATATTGCGGCCATTTTTATTGTCACATATACATTTTATGAAAAAAAAAATGAATATTAACAAATCCATGTACATGTAACCTGTAGGAACTCCAATTCTTTACCGTAAACAAAAGTGCACACTATGACATCCACAGCTGAAATGTCAAAAAAAGAAGAAAAAAGAAGTAGACCTCAGTTTCGTCCGGTTCCGTGAACTCACTTTCGGAATACTGCCCCAAATACCAGGGTTATAAAATACCTTTTCTGGCTAATCAGAAAAAAATAAGCCCAAGCGGTTTTCGGAGGAGACGTTTCTGAGCCGCTGACTTCCTATAAAGCCAACGGTGATTTCATTTATGGAGGAAGATCCGATCTGGCTGGCATTAGCGGCGGATCCCACGACAGGCATGCTTAACCAAACACGGTGTACTAGAGTAAATCAATAACTAAAGAAGGGCGCTTCCACTAACTGTGATGCCTTCGGCCAGTGACAAAACCAAAAGTACCAACAGAGTAACTCTTGACTACTGCAATGCGATCATTCCTGGAATGTTTCTCACACTAGTTTATCTCACAAAACTACAAATGTCTGTTTATTTTCTCCATGTGCCAATCTCGACTACTACCTTTGGTTATCCTCCGAATGAATTCTCAATTACAAATGATTGATATACGATTTTTGAATCGTTTTCTACGGTTTATCAACCCCTTACAGGTTCTTTAAAGCCAGAAAATAAATCTAGATTGCAAGAATTTTTTTATTATTTAGAGATAATAATGGTTTAGTGATACAAGTCTTACTAATTACCTGAGGGGGGAGGCGGATTCCTAAATTTCTCAAGTGTGTTTGCACGTAATTGAATATAACGAACCCAACGGAAATTGGAACTCGGCTCTCCGATTAATAATTCCGAACGATTTTTTATTACACCACCCGCACATCCAAGCTTGGTATTTCCAAGCGCTCACCCATCTAGGTACTAACCTGGCTTGATGTTGCTTAACTTCAGTGAACGTACGGAAACCGGTGTTTCAAGGCTATGTGGCCGTAAGCCCACCCCTGTACGAGTAAACTATCGAACCTTGTCAATCACGGTAAATAAAAAAAACAAACTATTTTATTATCTTCAACCATGTCTTATCTTCATTTGTTGTTTTGTTCTACTTATTTTCAGTTAGATTCTTTAATATTCACGGACAAGCATTCGGCGTTCGGAGTCACATGTTACAATCTAACGGCAGCAGAGAATCACAGTTTTTCCTAGTAAAGCGCCGTTCTTAATGCAGTAAAAGAAAACAACACTCAATGCACCTGTGTGCCACCGAAAACTTCGTGATCACAATTTTGAACTGGAACATGCAGTAAATAAAATCTACTCAAATGAAGATGCATTAAAAGCGTTATAATTTACGAATTTACTACGATTATTATAAAACTGGGACTATTTTCCATTGTTCTTACTAAACTACAACTGAAACGATGTAGAATATATAAACCTTAAAATAAAGGAATAAATAAATAAATATGAGTTTAAGTTATTTCTCTATATTTCTGATATGAGGTATTGTAATTATTTATACTATTTACATTGTTCGGACTGTTGTCCTCATCTCTGTTGCCAGATTCACGGCGTTTCGGCCGTTTTACGCTCCGACCTTCTTCAGTATCTGTCTGTATTTCTGAGATGAGGTATTGTAATTATTTACACGATTTACATTGTTCGGACTGTTGTCCTCAAGGTCACATAGCTCAGTGGTTGAAGTAATCAACTTGACCCAAAGAATTGGGAGTTCAATATTTGGCTACAGCATTGAACAAAAAAAACTTGTGGGGTTGAGTTAAAGGGTAATCAGTATTAACTGATATTCGGAAGAAGCATGGCACGTGGAACTAGAACAGTCTACCCTGGTGGACGAAATAAGTGGTTCGATTCGAAATTCCAATCACCTGAAGAAGGCCGGAGTGTATAACGGGCGAAACGTCGTGAATATGGCAACAACTATGAGGACAACAGTCCGAACAATGTAAATAGCGTAAATAAAATGTTCTTTATTAAGATTCTTGATCTCTAGGCCAGTAGACATTAATTTCACTGTTTAAAATACAGGATATCTGGTTTACACACTACATATAACATAGTAATAAAAATAATGTCAGATTTTAAAACATCATTTGTTTCTTTAAAATATTCATAATTCGGCAATCTTTAACATTTGTGCCGGAAAAAAAGGTTGCCTCAGAAGCACGTTTTTTTCCTTGAAACCACCATATTTTTAGCTACCTTTACTCCTCGGAGATGTTTATTATTTTAAAAAGGGATAATTAGAATTGCAATAAAACTTATATGATGATGAAAGCGAATTTATATTTTTTTGTTCTTGAAAATATTAAACACTATTTGACACTATTATTAAATTATTTATTTACCCGAATAATTTTATATTCACAACATTTTAAAAACTAATACAATTAAAACTAATGCAATATTTATCATTTGCCAATTTATAAAGAAATAAATATGTAAACCATTTTTATTCATAAATTTATAAACATTTGCTACATTATTCAAATATGTGAACCAACTATAAGGAAATCCTTTTTATTTCAGTCAGTTATGTGCCATGCGTGATACACGCTTAGGCGGTCATGTTTCTTTCGATACATGACTGACGAAGCAGATTTTTTCCCCGCAGTAGGTTGCCATTTTTTCTGCCATCCTGCTATTTACCCATAGCTAGGGGAAGAAGAAGAGGATTCATACCTTTCCCAAGGTTATTAGCACGTAAGTGAATGTAATGGATTCGACTGGAATTCGAACTCGGCTCCCCGATTCCCCAATCTGAGTCGCTATCCATTACTCCACCATGCCTTCTTTTTATTTACCATTTTATAAAGTTTGAATCAATTAGCCGATGTTTTGCCAGCCATTGCAATAAACAATAAACTAAATAGTGTTTATTACTTTTGTAATTTTCAAGAACAAAGAAAATGTATAAATTCACTTTCATATGTGTAGGTTTTATTAAAATTTTAATCATCGAGTTTTAAAACAGTAAACATTGCTGTGGAGTGAAGATAGTTAAAATAGCAGTGTCAAGAGAAAAACCGTCTATTTGAGACACGGTTTTTTTTTGGGGGGGGTGTTGTTTTTTTGTTTTTTTACCAGCATTTTAAAGATTGCCCATTTATATAAAGATATTTCTATAAAGATATGGCTAAAATAAAAAATAAACATTCAAATGCTTAATATGAATCACGTTTTTTTTTCTCGTTAATGTAGACTTTGTTCAAATAAAATTCTTTTTCTGATGACGTCGATTCATCAGCGAATCATTTCCAAACAAAATCTATCCCAATTATCTCATATATTTACTATGTACGCAATAATATTTATTGAGGTACGTCCATTTTAAAACTGAATATCAGTTTTAGTTATTCCTAAATATACATATACACCAAATGTTTTCAAACACTTAGCTGATGTTTATTTTAACCACGTGCGGTAAAGTTCTCGGCCCAATACACTTCCTCAAATCTGACCAAAAATTATTTTTCAATTTTCTTCTCGTATATTAAGTTGATTTAATACAGTAATGGACTACAGGGACAACAAAAGTAAATATACGAATCTGCATTTCACTCGTATAAAATTCTTCTGCCAATAAAAATGAGGGTAATCGAAAAAAGCCAAGTTTCCCATTGCTTCAAAAGTCTGCGTTGCATGATATTGCAAATATTCAGCAAAAGATTTGATCAGTTTGAAGTCGTACGACTTGATGGAGAATGCCCCTAATGCGAGAATCTCAGTTGTAAACGACGAAAAGTCATGCGAATAACGTTAATTGATGAAGTCATTTGTTTTTTACAGTTTATCAACTCTTTGTGGGTTTTTTTTAAAAAACCGAGACATAGATTTGGATTTCAAGAATTTTTTTTCTTTTGGGAGTGAAAATAATATTAACAATGTTTTGAGAATAACAATGTTTTTTCCAAATACAAGTCCTGCTATTTAACCTATAGCTAGGGGGAGATGGATTCATACCTTTCCCAGGGATATTTGCACCTAACTGAATGTAAGGAACCCGACTGGAATTCTAACACAGCTTTCCGATTTAATAATAATAATAATAATAATAATAATAATAATAATAATAATAATAACCAAAGACCACAAAAACAGAATGTGCTTTTTTATTGACATGGCAGTCTCTGCAGCTTGTAATGTATTTTTGAAAGTCTTCAAAAACTATCAAAATACAAGGATCAATAATTCCATTTGTAGTTGGAGCACTCGGATTGATTGGAAAATGATCCAATAGAGTCAGTGATAGAGGGTGGGGGAAAAATTTTCAGGGGAAAATATCACGAAAGCATTTCTGACCTCAGGTCTTTGGTTGATAGCCGGAAGGAAGCGTGTATACAACAGAAATCAAAGGAAATAATAATAATAATAATAATAATAATAATAATAATAATAATAATAATAATAATATGGTTCACTAGGTATGATCTCATTGCTTCTGACCTAAATGATTAGAAGCGTTAATATATATATGTTTTGTCTTTCTGAATTAAAATCGGTTACAGCAGTATTTCCCACAGTGGATGATAGCGTACCCTTGTGGGCTCTGTTATGTTGAAAGGGGGACTAGGAGTTTTTTTTATTTCATTTGGGGGGGGGCAGTGAACATACTCAGGTGGCGGTGGGCATGTATCCATTTTTTTCAGATTTTCAAAAATTATTCAATATTGGCTACAAAAGGAAATTTTAGAAAGTGCCGTGGAAAGCTATCGAACTTTTCTTCATTGCTTTTCCAAATTCCTATATGGCTGAATGTGGTTGTAACGCAGTTACACGGATTCTTACTAAACAAAGAAATCGCCTCCAAATTATAAAACGAGATCTACTATTAATTCTAAGCAGCATGGAACCTTAAGTAAGAGCCTTCGCCAGTAAACACCAAAGTCAACCATTGCATTGAAAACATTGGGATATGCTATCAAATGAACCTAGAGTAAGAGCCTTCGCCAGTAAACACCAAAGTCAACCATTGCATTGAAAAACATTGGGATATGCTATCAAATGGACCTAGAGTAAGAGCCTTTCGCCAGTAAAAACACCAAAGTCAACCATTGCATTGAAAACATTGGGATATGCTATCAAATGGACCTAGAGTAAGAGCCTTCGCCAGTAAACACCAAAGTCAACCATTGCATTGAAAACATTGGGATATGCTATCAAATGAACCTAGAGTAAGAGCCTTCGCCAGTAAACACCAAAGTCAACCATTGCATTGAAAACATTGGGATATGCTATCAAATGAACCTAGAGTAAGAGCCTTCGCCAGTAAACACCAAAGTCAACCATTGCATTGAAAACATTGGGATATGCTATCAAATGAACCTAGAGTAAGAGCCTTCGCCAGTAAACACCAAAGTCAACCATTGCATTGAAAAACATTGGGATATGCTATCAAATGAACCTAAAGTAAGAGCCTTCGCCAGTAAACACCAAAGTCAACCATTGCATTGAAAACATTGGGATATGCTATTGGACCTAGATAAGATGCTAAAAACACCAAAACCAATTGAAAATGATATATGCTATCAAATGAACCTAGAGTTTTCGCCAGTAAACACCAAAGTCAACCATTGCATTGAAAACATTGGGATATGCTATCAAATGGTCCTAGAGTAAGAGCCTTCGCCAGTAAACACCAAAGTCAACCATTGCATTGAAAACATTGGGATATGCTATCAAATGAACCTAGAGTAAGAGCCTTCGCCAGTAAACACCAAAGTCAACCATTGCATTGAAAACATTGGGATATGCTATCAATGAATGAACCTAAACACCAAAGATTGCATTGAAAACATTGGGATATGCTATCAAATTCGCCAGTAAACACCAAAGTCAACCATTGCATTGAAAACATTGGGATATGCTATCAAATGAACCTAGAGTAAGAGCCTTCTCCAGTAAACACCAAAGTCAACCATTGCATTGAAAACATTGGGATATGCTATCAAATGAACCTAGAGTAAGGAGTTTCGCCAGTAAAACACCAAAGTGAACCAGAGAAAACATTGGGATATGCTATCAAATGGCCTGCCAGTAAACACCAAAGTCAACCATTGCATTGAAAACATTGAGATATGCTATCAAATGAACCTAGAGTAAGAGCCTTCGCCAGTAAACACCAAAGTCAACCATTGCATTGAAAAACATTGGGATATGCTATCAAATGAACCTAGAGTAAGAGCCTTCAAAGTCAACCCAGTAAACACCAAAGTCAACCATTGCATTGAAAAACATTGGATATGCTATCAAATGAACCTGCAGAAAAAGAGCCTTCGCCAGTAAACACCAAAGTCAACCATTGCATTGAAAACATTGGGATATGCTATCAAATGAACCTAGAGTAAGAGCCTTCGCCAGTAAACACCAAAGTCAACCATTGCATTGAAAACATTGGGATATGCTATCAAATGAACCTAAAGTAAGAGCCTTCGCCAGTAAACACCAAAGTCAACCATTGCATTGAAAACATTGGGATATGCTATCAAATGAACCTAGAGTAAGAGCCTTCGCCAGTAAACACCAAAGTCAACCATTGCATTGAAAAACATTGGGATATGCTATCAAATGAACCTAAAGTAAGAGCTTCTGCCAGTAAACACCAAAGTAAACCATTGCATTGAAAACATTGGGATATGCTATCAAATGAACCTAGAGTAAGAACCTTCGCCAGTAAACACCAAAGTCAACCATTGCATTGAAAACATTGGGATATGCTATCAAATGGACCTAGAGTAAGAGCCTTCGCCAGTAAACACCAAAGTCAACCATTGCATTGAAAACATTGGGATATGCTATCAAATGGACCTAGAGTAAGAGCCTTCGCCAGTAAACACCAAAGTCAACCATTGCATTGAAAACATTGGGATATGCTATCAAATGGACCTAGAGTTAGAGCCTTCGCCAGTAAACACCAAAGTCAACCATTGCATTGAAAACATTGAAATAAGCTATACAATATTTTTTTTTAGAGGAATTTAATCATTGGCATTTCTAATTGCACTAATACCTAAGTGTTATCTTGCGATGAAAGATGAATTCAGTATTATATTCGAAATTTAATTTGACTGGGTGGCGGCGTTGACAAAATGTTTGTGACCAAAGGGGGCGCTGGTTAGGAAATGCTGGCCTAGAGTATATATCTCGTCCAATACTACAGACTTGTCAATTGCTTTAATGATTGGAGGTTTTGTTTTAGTGAAAATCGGAGACAACTACGATCTTTTTAACGCTATAAGATCAGTAGAACAAATCGTAATAATCAAATAATCAACTAATAATATTAATAATAAGTTGTATCATCATCATCATCATCATCATCATCACTCGAAGCAGATCCGATGACGTAATTTCACGATTGCTGGTTCATAACAAATGACTATAGTTCCTGCAATTTCTCCACCTCTATATCAAGGAAAACTTTTCTCAAAATTCTGTCTCAAGCGATACCGTTTTCTAAAGACCCTCAGTTTGAATCACAGCCCATAGCATTGTCAGTATGCATCGGGAGAACCACATCACTGCGGCGTCAAGTCTCTGCTATATAGGAGATTGTAGATGACATAGCAGTTCAGAATTCTTTTCCTTACTTCTAAGGAGATTATTCCTCTCTTTTAATACTTTGCTTAGTTTCTGAAAGTTTCCATGAATACATCAAATATCAAAAATACAAATGGCTCGCGATCTGGCCACGCCTTCTCTATAGTAAAGCATCCATATTCATATTGCGAATATATAAGCTAAGTACAACACATAGCCACAAGTTGGGATCGAACTCACGACAGTAATTGGTTTTGTGAGAATACGTTGCTGCATGCTAAAGCGACTCTTGAGACACATCGTTGTTGTCATATAAATTTCAGTTATTTTCTTTGACAGAAGTTTGAGAGCATGTGTTGCTCTATTTTTCATGCTACACCACAGGCTGTAGGTGTTAATATGTAAAAACTGAATGTGAAAAAGAAGTCTTCCAACAAAAAGAGATTGTTTGATGCACCATCTATAAAATTCAAACCTTAATATCCAGTAGTCACCAATGGCAAAGAAGACGCCGTAATAAGTGTATTCAATAAATATGTACCTAGTGTTGAAATCAAATTAGACTAGATGTCTAAACGCACTTTGATCGATTGTTCAAAACATAAGCGATCATGACTTCTCACAGATTCTTTATGTTCATTATCTGTGAATTGCAATGACGTCTTGATAAAGATAGCAGAGTAGTTTTCTATTGCTTTCTGTGCTGTTTTGAATTGAGAGAACACACAAGTCTAGAGAGCTCTGTTTACCCTACCATTTAACCAATAGCTGCTAGGGGGGGGGGAGAAGAAATCTATTCATGCTTGTCCCAACGGTATTAGTGCGAAAGTGAAGGCTGAAATTTGGACTCAGTCCGTTGACTATACTTACCGCGCCAATAACAGTTATACTAAATGTAAATCCAAAAATAAATTGAGATAGATAGATAGATAGATAGATAGATAGATAGATAGACGGACAGATTGAAACTGAAATATATAAATAAACTGGGCTATCTAGCTAGATATGATTTACCAACCATAGATAGATATACAGTGTAACCCGGATATAAGAGAGTTGTCGGGACCGGAGAAGAAGTCTCTTATATCCGGGTTTCTCTTATATCCGGGTTTGGTCTATTTTATATACATTAACACAGGCTCTAATTTGGGACCAGAGAAAATCTCTCTTATATCCGGGTTTCTCTTATATCCAGGTCTCTTATATCCGGGTTACACTGTATAATTGTATATATATATATATGTGTATATATATATGTGTATATATATTATTAGTGTAACCCGGATATAAGAGAGTTGTCGGGACCGGAGAAGAAGTCTCTTATATCCGGGTTTCTCTTATATCCGGGTTTGGTCTAATTTATATACATTAACACAGGCTCTAATTTGGGACCAGAGAAAATCTATCTTATATCCGAGTTTCTCTTATATCCGGGTCTCTTATATCCGGGTTACACTGTATACATAAATTGTAATTCACTATTTTTCAATTACTGTATCTATGCTCGTTTGACAACCTCTATCTGTACGTATTTTGCTAAGTCAGATTATCCTTTACCTTATAACTCTAATCTTTGTCCAGATTTTCATATCCTCTTCCTTCGCGGCAAGTCTAAAGTCATCGCTCTACAGTAGGCAACTCTTATCCTTTTTCTCCGCTTTGTTTTTGTTTTTTTCACACCAGTCAGTATATCACTACACATAATGTGGCAGTGAATCTCTTCAGTGTTCTTTTCACTATTATTATTGTTGTTGTTGTTGTTGTTCACCTTCCCCCATCTTCACGTTCTCCTTCTACGTCTCCTTTTTCTTCTCGCTATTATCATTATTATTACTATTATTCTTTGTTACATTTGTGTCCTTCTTCAACTGCTCTTTTTTGCCTCCCACTATTGTTTTGTTTCACCGTGTTCTTGATTAATTTCGTTTTCTCTTGATTATCCTCCTCCTCCTTTTCCTCCTCTTTCTTCTTCTTCTTCTTCTTATTATTATTCAGCGACTTCTTCTTCCCAGCTCTCCTCTCCTCGTGCTAGCTCCCATTTTCTCTTTCCATTATTATTATTATTATTGATAACATCATTCGCTTGTGTTTAAAATCGAAACTAAAAAAAATCCTCAGTCAAGAAAGTAAAATCAAATTAATAACAATGTTGATCGAAGTAAACTAGCCGAATTTCGAAAATGATTTTCCAATTTTTGGACCCAGGGTCGATGAAGTGCCATTTTCTATTTCAAAGCATCTTACAACTTCAAAGAAGTTACTGCTAGACATGCGCAGTTTCTTTATGCGATATTTTCAAAATGGCTTCCGATGCTAAGAATTAAATTCCTTTTTGGAATAACTAAACAATTATAAAAAGCATAGCCTCAAATTTACCGAAACCTGTATTAAGAATGATAACATTTGCTGAAATACATCAGAGTGTACAGTAGTCTCTAATTAAGAGAATGGAATTTTATTAGTAATAACTTAATATATAGTCACTAAATTTAGCTTCTTTTACCTCATGAGTAAGACACTTAGTGAGAACGTCGTTGAATATATTTACTTAGCTTGAAACAAAGCAACAATAGGGGGTTGCTCAGTGCGCAGTCATGCGCATTTTGTTGAGATCGATCCACAGTAGCGGCTTCACGATTGTGACTTTTTTGGCAATGTAAAACCATATTAATGGTCATGATCTATAACTTAGATGGTTAAATTTTGCGAAACGATTTAAAGGCCGTCTGTATATGCCTTTCGTATGTCATTGTAACATATTTTCCCTCTTTTGAGTACTGTTTCCGTCAATCACTCGCCACTCAAACTTTTTCGAACCTTTGTAAATTACATGATGTGAATATGAAAAGAAACAATGAGAACGTCTTTACGATTTTTTATAAACAACTTATACTCAAAATGACTAATATGGCTAAAGCAATATCCAAAAACTAAAATTAAAGAAAAAGTGTTACAAAATACGTTATTTTACAATTTACTCAAGAATTCTATCAATTCTACCAATTTTGTTACAGTGAAAAGTCGTTCTTTTTTATCAGAAAAATTGCAAACTTTTGTGCTCGATTTTCATTCTTAATATAAAATGACCGCAACTTGAAATTGGTCTTTCTTTTGGTGCCAATTTCTGGTGTGTTCTAGATTGAAGTCTTTCATCGTTCAGTTGCTTTGTTGAATGTTAAGCTTTTGTCCACAAATGAATGCTTTAAAATGGAGGATGAAAAGTTGCATTTTTGCCATATTATGTTCAATGAATTTCAAAAAGGGTTAAGTGTCGGAATTGCGGAAAAGAAAAAAAAAATCACTCAGAATGTTTATTTGAATTGTTCTCCAGTCCTTCAGGCGGCCAAAAAATGTTCTGACAGATGTCTTCATGGCGATTTTAATCGAAACGATTAATCACGCTCCGGGCGACTTTCTGACGTCTCTGTTTGCCATCGTGGAGAATAAACCAAATATATCAACGGAAGAGAGTGCTAAGAGTTTAAAAATTGATATCTCAATCATCTTTCGCTATTTGAAGAGGGTTGAGTTCGTTTCCAAATTCGACACTTGGGTGCCACATTCTGTGACGAAACAGAACAAGCTCGTGTCTCTGTGGAGATTCATTTGTTGTTACGCCACGAATAGGAGCCATTCTTGTCTAGAATTGTCACAGGCAATGAAAGATTGGTCGTTTAGGATAACGCTCAACGCAAAAAGGAGCTGGAAACAAGCTTGTAAATGTGCAGAAACTGGAGCTAAATCTGGCTTGAATCCAATGGCGGTATTGCTGTTCGTTTGTTGGGATTGCAGAGAGATAATTCACTTTGATATTCTTCTAGCCGACGAAACAATAACTGCAAAGAAGTATGGCGACCAACGCGTCAATCTGAATGCGGTTATTCAAGAAAACCAGCCAGTTCTGATCGAATAGATGTCATTCTTCACCATGTCAATGCAAGACCATATGTTGTTGAACAGAACTTGCAGAAGTTTAAAGATTTGAAATCGGAGACCCTCCAGTACGCAGCGTATTTTCCTGAATTGGCGTCTTCGGATTTTCATTTGTTACGGTTTTTACGGAATAATTTAAATTGCCAAAAAAGTTGATTCTGTACAGTCAGTCGAAAATTACGTCAAACCGTCTTCTCACAAAAAACTTGAAGTTTCTTCGAAAATGACATCAACAAGCTTGTAGAACGATGGAAAACAGTTGTTTAAAACGACGAAGACGATATACTTGACTATTGCTTTGCTTTTAATTTTCTGGAGTAATGGATAGCGGTTTGGTCTGAGGAATCGGAGAACCGAGTTCGAATTCCATTCGAATCCGTTACATGCTAATACCCTTGGGAAAGGTATGAATTCTCTTCTCTTCCCAGGTATAAGTATATAGCAGGACAAACCGGGTTCTGTAGCCTTGGATTGTAACTAGTCTATTGCAGAAAGAAATCTACTGCCGGAAAAATTCTGCCTCGTCAGTCATATATCGAAAGATGCATGATCGCCTAAGTGTGTATCACGCATGGCACATAACTGACTGAACCAAGCACGACCTTTTGGAATGATTTATGAATAACGCATGGATAAAAATTTAAGCAACTGAGTACTAATTCTTGTACAAAAATATATTAACTAGACCTCCTGTTGCTTAGACAAAATCGTGTAGTTACTAAATATACAGACGAAAAATATGGATATGAAATTACGAGAGGGATGGGAGAGGGGAAGAGGCAACTGTTAAAAAAGGATATGGAAGAAAGAAAAGAAAATTAAATTTTATTTTATAAACTTCTTTGTTTTCTGTGTGCGCGCACGCGCACGCACACGCGCATGCGCACGCGCAAGTGTGCTTGAAAATATAACTGTAATCTTATTGAGATCATCATTGATATATGACGCGCTCGGCTCGGAGGGGAGTATTCAACATTTGATAATTTTGTGGCAATACGCGCTTAAAGGTTTTAACCAGTTCTGATCAACTTTTCTTTCCATGATTAATAGTAAGGAATTGTAAATGTAGGACTACCTTACACAAGTAAAATAATAACAATAATAATATTTATTAAGAATTCATTACAGGAAATATCAAGTTTTACGGAAACATTGTTGGCGATTATGTATTTAGTTACATGACAAATAAATAAAAATAATATAAATTTTGATGTTATATTCGATTTAGTGTAAGGTATTTTTCTTTTAGTATTTTAGAATACTTTGGCTGCAATGCTAAGTTTCCTAAGTTAAACAAATTGGAGCTGTTTCGTTTACGCTTTGTTACCTCTCTTTTCCATTGTTGTTTTTAGATCGTTTTCTTCCAGTCATTTTGATGGGCAATAGCGAAATTTTGAAATTTAGAATAATTCTTATTCCATTCCAAAAGTAGAGCCTGTAAAAAGGAATATTTTAAATTAATATACGACCAAAAATAAACGATTTTGACAAAAAAAAACAACAAAAAAAATTAATAATTTAACTATAATTATTTAACAATAATGTAAAGATATTCCGCAGACAAATCTACAGTTTATGTTACTTCATCGCATTGCAGGGTTACGAACTATAAACCTAAACCGAGTTTGTAATATTGTTTGGTTTGGTTTGGTTTGGTTTGGTTTGGTTTGGTTTCTTTTGTTTTACGGCACCTCACCCTCAATGGGTTATTTAATGCCAACAAGATTTGTATTGCTGATAATCATTTTTTTCTTCAAAAATTCATTGCTGATAATCATTTTTTTCTTCAAAAATTCATTGCTGATAATCATTTTTTACAAAAATGTATTCCTGGTATTAAAAACTATTTTTACACTTTCATAGTGTTTCGACCCCAGTTTGTTGTTAAATATTTGCCCGTAGCTGGGACCCTAACAGGTGCTACCACCTCGGGTTAGAGTGGAACTGGGAACACCAGCCATTAAGAGGCGGTTTCACGCTCCTCAAAACCTGATCAGAGGTCTTGCTATCGGATGTAGTTTATCGTCTTACCCAGGACGCTTGAAATATTGTGTAAGAGGCTCAATTTTTTTTTTTACTTGGATATGATATAATGAATAATTTTCAATGAAAAAAAGCAATTTTCAATTTTTTGTTGAATACACCCCTCCTACACCGAACGCGCTATATATTATTGAAATAAAATAAAAAATGAATATATCTCATTTCTTTTTAATCATTTCACCCCAAGGAAGGTAATAAAACCACTAAGATGCAACGGGTTATTGAATAAGAGAGAATATGAAAAAAGAAACATTATTAAGAAGAGCGAACAATAAAAGAACAGGAATTAAGAAGGCAAAAGATAACGATTGATATTGCATTTAAATTTTGAGGATCAAAGCTGACCGAAAAGCAAGAAGACGGAAAAGAATTCCAAAGGTGAGAAGGTCGAGAGAAGAAACTGTTAGCATAGGACTTACGGTTACATCTAATTTTAAAAAGACGAGCCTTGACTTGATCTGAGCCGCTCAGACAAATGATAACAGTGCTACGTATTCAGTATTTATGTCCGAATTTCGAGTGATTGAGGGTAAAACTATTCTTAATAGCAGAGGATTAACGGGAAAGGACCACGCCCTTTTACACAGTTTAATTACTGTTTTTCTCCAGAACACTTTTATGACACTTACTTTAGCTTTTCACAATGAAAAAGAAAGCACGTAACCAATCCTTTTCTATATTAAACACTTGAACTTGAGTTTCATGAACGAGTCGATATATTTATTTTATTCCATTTTACTGTCTTGAATAATAATAAAAAAAAAACATGTTTTAAACATAACACAAACATTTTTAAAAAGAAGGAAATAATTTTGAATAAAGTCAGTTATATAAAAATATCAGCAAAGAAATATATATAAAAATTACATGAGTCTGTATTTCTGAGAAGAGGTATTTTAATTATTTACACTATTTACATTGTTCGAACTGTTGTCCTCATATTTATTGCCATATTCACGGCGTTTCCGTCGTGTACCCTCCGGCCTTCGTCAGGATCTGTTTATATTAATGAGATAAGTTATTGTAACTATATACATCGTTCGGTCTGTTGTGCTCATCTTTATTGCTACATTCACGACGTCTCGGTCGCTGTTCGCACGCCACGGTGAACAGGGCGTCTATTTCAAATTGGAAGTGTCCATTATAATAAAGTTTGAAGTAATAAAAATGTTGGATTTAAAATAAATTGCTTTGTTTAATTTCGGATAAGAAACAGCAGATATGGGTTCCCGCGAAAAGTCTTCTGATTAAAGAGGATGCGCCTTCCTCAAAGCGGGTAAGATGAGTAGTATTTA